CCAACAACTGAACACCGCTCGGGTTCAGATCAGGGGGGCCGTTCTTCCCGATCACCCCTCTCCAAGTGTCACTGGCATTTCCCACATGGGCGTTGAAGTCCCCCAGGAGAATAACGGAGTCCCCGGGAGGTGCACCGTCCAGTACCCCTCCCAAGGACTCCAAGAAGGCAGGAACTCGGCACTGCCGTTAGGCCCGTAGGCCGTCACAACAATGGGAGACTTGTCCCACCCGGAGGCGGAGGGACGCGACCCTCTCATTCACCGGGGAGAACTCCAACACATGGCGGCTGAGATGGGGGGCAATGAGTATGGCCACCCCAGCTCGCCGCCTCTCCCCGTGGGAAACACCAGAAGATGACTGACAGGTATGAGATGATGATACAATCATCCCCATCTGAGAAGTCCTCTATCTCAGAGTTGTCTGCAATTGCCAACAGCAATTGTTCTGCTCTTGACAATGAAAGTGTGCCTGTAATGATAATGTTAAAAACCAACATCAAAATCTACAGTATATCAGTGACACTTCATAGCTTGGCTATCATGTGCTAGCTATAGCCTAGCTATATTGTTTATGATTTAGAATTTAGCAACACTAAACAATACTTAGCATATACCACTTAGTACTTAAATATACTATTTACAACTGTAAACCACATAACTAAGCAAATGTGTGATTCAAAATAACTATTTACAACTGTAACTTCATCTAAATCTTCCACACGGTTAGCTAAACAGATAGCGGTACATAGTCCTAGCGTCCTCAAACGAGTGCTTCACTTTTACTGACATCCTAGCCTGCTACTACAATCAAAATTTGTCAAATTTCAAACTCCATATGAAGCTAGAGACATTATTGTGCATAAAAAAATTGATTTCATTCATAAAATGTTGATAGAATTTTTACCTGGGGCATTTTTCTTCTGTAAACTCTTGTAGAAGTCTTTTGCTGATATTGCCACCATTTTTTTCCTACTGCCTTAAGTGTAATTCTATCATATCACCACAAGATGGCGCGGGCAGTGTCCCTAAATGTGGCCATCAGGTCAAGGATGTAAAAAATTTAGTATCATTGTGCCAAGAGGCAAAAATGTAATGTCCTCGTATGAGGTCGCAGGGTCTCAGGAGGGTATGGGAGAAGCTACCACAGAGTCATAAAATCTTGAACTAAATGTGTAAGAATGAGCCTTGGGTATCATTCAGTAGATTATCATGACAGCAGACAGAAGGTCGCTGCTATGGTGTCTCCTTCTTTCAGCCTGCTCTTTCGTCCGTCTGTCCTGCCCAGTGCCCAGACACACTTGGGGACATAGCTCATCTTGTTTGTAATCTCTGTCTGCGTTTGCCTCCAGCTCCTCCTAAGGTGCTTTAGCTAAAGTTTGTGGACTGAAAAAAATGTCCCAGAAAACAGAAGAGCTGTTCTTTTGTGCTGCAGTGTTTTGTGTGTTTCCAGATTTCATAAAGTGAAGGATTAATAAAATCTTCCAAATTGGTTAGAGTGTATAAGTATTTCATTAGATTGCATAAGCTTCCTCTTATCTTCTTGTCACCACAAATATATGAGGCAGATGTATGAGGCGTATTAACAGTTATATGCAGAAGAAAGATATGATTGTATTATGGCTGAAATATGAATGTAAGCTAGAGATGCGCAAGTACAGTACTACTACATTTTCTGATGAACATTATTGATATTGTGAGCTGCTGTACTGCTGTTTTGTGAAATGAAATTTGCCATTTTATCACATGTTATCACAACAGTAACAGATATTTCAACTGTAGAATGCTACCAGACAGGCAGAAATGTCTTGACGATGTAAAAGACTGGATGTCTATCAATTTTTTAAACTTAAATGACAAGAAAACAAATTGTTTTGTTTGGTGAACCTGACCTTTCTGTTTTCAATGGTGTGTGTAGCCTGTCTTCTTACTGCTGCCCATTTGCAAAAAATCTTGGTGTGTATTTTGATGGTGCTTTTAAAATGGACAAACAAATAAGTTCAGTTGTCTAAGCCAGCTTCTTCCAGCTGAGACTGTTGACCAAAGTTAAACGCTATCTCCCACCAAATGACCTTGAGAAGGTTGTCCACGCCCTCATATCCACACGGCTGGACTATTGTAACTCTTTGTAGTAAGCTTTATTTATATACCGCCTTTCACAGACCAGAGTCTCAAAGCGGTTTACAATTGTTATTTTTGGGCACTTGTCCTCTCACTCCACACAGAGATGGGAGCGGGGTCGCCGAACAGGAGGCGCATGCCAGACCTATTGTACATATTTTTAGTGGTAGGGGAAACCGGAGTACCCGGAGGAAACCTACGCAGACACGGGGAGAACATGCAAACTCCACTCAGAAAGGCCCTGGTCCGGCCGGGATGCGAACCCAGGACCTTCTTGCTGAGAGGCGAGAGTGCTATCCACTCAGCCACCGTGCTGCCTTTGTACTATGGCCTTGACCAGTCCTCAGTCCACAGACTGCAGCTGGTACAGAATGCAGCAGCTCGGATGCTGACTGGCACCAGACAACACGAGCACATCACTCCTGTGCTGTCGTCTCTTCATTGGCTTCCTGTCGCTTTTAGAATTAAGTTTAAAATTGTATTGTTAGTATTTAAATCTCTGCACGACCTGGCTCCGTCATATCTCACGGATTTGCTTACTTTGCACACTCTGGGAAGAGCTCTGAGGTCCTTTGACCAGCTTCTTCTGCACTGTCCCAGGTCTAGACTAAAGAGCAGGGCCTACACTCTGGAACGCTCTTCCTTACTGTATCAGAGCTGCCCCCTCTGTGGAGAGCTTTAAATCACAGCTAAAGACATATTTATTTGCTTTGGCTTTTTTAACACAAGCAATATTGAAACATTTATGATAGTGTCCTGCATTATTTTATGCTGTATCTTATTTGTGTGTTGTATTTTGTTATGTCTGGTAAGCACTTCGTGACAGTCTTGTCTGTTTAAAAAAAATGCTATATAAAAAACTTGACCTTGACCTTCCAAATTGCTACCGAATTGTACCATGTTTAAAAGTGTCATCAGTTTATAAAAGGTCCCCAAATCTCAGCCTTGAAAAAATACATTAGAAGTATTTGCTATGTGCAAAGAAATCATGTTAGTGCATGACATATTTATATTGTTGCTATTATCATGGGCAGTACAATATGTAATCAATATGCATCTTGCCAGTCTTTAAAATGTTATACTATTGTAAAAGGATGTTTGGTGTGTCCTGTTGAATCATGTGCTATACCTACTAGGGGTGGGAATTGGCAAAAATGTGACATTTTGATAGTGTTGGTCCACAATTCAATACTGGGATTCTTAACATATTGCAATACATTATTGCAATTTGATTCTCTAATATGAATTGCAATTAATGTCCTTACAAAAACTGAGAATAAAAAGACTGCTTGACTCAATTTTATTATGGTCTGCACACTAACTGAAGTGCAAAAATGTAGGAGGATACTGCAAAAAACATTATTGTTGAACATTCAGGACACAGGACCTTATTACAGGACAAAACATAATTAACCATTCAAAAGAGGACAGAGTGTTATGATGAAGCCATTTTAATTTGAACTTTGTGTTGAATGAATGCACAAAAACAAGCATCGCAACAAGCACCACCTCATGGATGCAATATGCAAATGTAGTAATAATAAAATGTAATAATGCAAAAAAAAAAAAAAGGAAATGTCAATTATGAGAGTAAACCCCGACAGAACACTAAGGTGAAATATATAATTATTTAACTAACTATCACAATACTTTGCTCCACTGCTCGGCTCTAAGTGTATGAGCAAGATATCGAAATACTGAAGAGAATACATTTGAATCCCCCACCACTGAGGCTGCGGTCACATGCACAGCCTAAAGCCCGGTTAAAGTGTGCCAAGGCCCGCTTCACGATTAGATCCGGGCTTTAGGTGCAATGTGACCGCAGCATGTGTGCCTCAGCACAATTCCAGGAATCGTGCTGAGGCACCGATCAAAACTGCGGCCAGGGCCCGCCTCATAGCGCGGATGAGAGGGGTCAGTGTGGCGGGTGGTGGGGAGTGGGGGATTAGGTGTGGTGGGGACTTGATATTGTGCGTCACATTACATCTTCCTGTGACACGCATTTTCACACAGTCTCTCCCTGCACTTTTGTATTCTCCGCTGTGTTAAACCTTTCATACAGTATAAGCCCGGACCGTGGTATATCCTACGGGTATCCTACGGCTTCTGTCCTGACCCTCGCTCTCAGACATTCAAGAATCAGTCTTTATTTAATCGCCAGAACACACACACGCACGCACGCTCCAGTCGCTCGTAGCCACTTTTCTGTCTTTCATTCATTCATTCTCAGCGCTATAAAGGCGCGCTCCCGTGTCCGCAGTGCGCCCGCGCACACAGACAACACACACGTGTCCCACCGCTGCATTTTGGGGAAAGACATACTGTATCTCACACTTGTTAACATTACTCTGATGCAAACAACGCATTGCATGCTCAAGCCTGCAGCTGCAGTAGCAGAATGTAAACAGGAAAAAAAGCCACTTGGCCTGGATCCGGGCCACTTGGCCTGGTTCGTTTGTAAAAACCTATGTGACCGTTCCCTAATACTGACAGTGTATTGAATAATAATTGTATCAATGTATTTAAAGAGCGTGTGACTTTTCTCAAGAACAACTACAGATTATACTTGGACATTGAGGTCATTACTTAGACAGAAAAAAACAGAACCAGTATATAAGGCAGTCCAATGAACTGACCTTTTGGAAAACAACTCTATAGCTGTATAGACTATGAGTGCCTCTTGTAGCACTACTACTGAAGTGATTTCATTTTGATTCCCTATTGCGTATGCCGAGATATGGAAGTGTAATGTTAGGCCATTGGCTTGAGACATATGTCAGATTTAGTGGGCCCTGGGACTGCAGCCAAAGTAGTAATGGAGAGCTAATGGAGGAGCAGAGGCCTATAATGAAAGGGAGAACAGGAAAGCAGCTGAGGTTTCAATGCTGGACAATGATTGGTGCGTGTCTTATTCACGCCTCCAATCAATGCTGTTGTCAGTGATGGCGTTGTTTATTGCACATTTAATTCCGGGATATTGACGTACAGGAGTGCGGACACAGCGTCTTTCTGCTCAGGTAACTGTGGAGATATTTTCTGTCGGAGTTTGCTAATACTCTGGTAACCATGTAATGGTGGGGTTGAACGATGTGGAATTGCAGACAATTTTCCAAACAATTAGATTGAGATTTATCTTTGAATTGTGTTCAATTTATCCATTTTGAAATTGGTTCATGTTCTGATCTCTGATTCATAGTCCTCAGGTGACAACCTAGAGCAACCTTTGACCACCATAACTATGGAGAGTGATGATTTAATTATATGAATTATATACTATTTGGCAATGATAAAAATAATACCCCATTAAAAAAAAAACAATAACAGCAATAAGTATAATTTCTCAATTGATTAGTTGTTTATATCACATACATTTGATCAAAACAGAGCTCAAGTGATGCCCTGGAGAACGTCTCATAGAGATGACATGTCACACATTGGGTTGTTTGAACAACCCATGAATGTTGGGTAAAGGTAAAGTTAAACATTCATGGACATTGGTCAACTCCTCCTATGGACCAATAATTATGTCTTCTATATTATTGTGTTTGAACCACTTGATTCTTTGATCCGTGATGGCGATTTCAAGGGTATTGTTAAGTCCTCTGATATAACTACTATTGTGATTTAGGGCGATACTAGAATAGTTTTATGACTCCGAAAATTTTATGTTGAGGTTCAACAAATAATATTGTTATCTCTAACATATGAATTTTTTTGTAATGAATCAAAAGCCTTAGCTGGCTTCTCTATTCTCTCAACATGGAGGAGCAGCAGCTTTAGCCCGATTAGATGCAGGTTTTAGGTGCTATGTGACCGCGGCAACTGGGACTGAGCACGGTTGGGAGAGGAAGGCCTGAGCACGCTTCTAAAGCCCAGATGTGGGGGGTGGTTGGGAGTGGGCGATTAGATGGTGGGGACTTTATATTGTGCGTCACATTACATCTTCCGTTGTGACGCGCATTTTCACATACGTCTCTACACTTTCGTATTCTCCGCTTGTGTTAAACCTTTCATAAAAGCCCCCGGACCATGTTCAAGGGGCGCTGGGGAGTGTGTCGCTCCAGGGACAAAGGACAAAGCGTTGCCTACGGGGAATAACTACCTTCTGTCCTGACCCTCGCTGTCACAGTGTGGTGCTTATGTAATAACACTTTAGACGTTCAAGAGTCAGACTTTATTTAATTGCCAGAACACACCAACACACACTTATATCCTGCCTGACTCCGGCCGCTCTGCTCGTACGCCACATTTTTCATTCTTTCATTCTCATTCATTAATTTCTCAGCGCTTACGCTCTATAATCCAAAGCCCGCTCCCGTGTCCGCTGCGCACACGTGCACACGCAGACACACACGTGTCCCACTGAGCTGCTGCACTTTAGGGAAAGACACACGTCTCACAGTTGTACACATTGCACTGATACAAACAACACAATCCGTGCTCGAGCTGTTAGCGCTACAGTAGCAGAATGTAAACAGGAAGAGAAACGGAAACTTAACTCGGACAACGAGGTAGTCGCTGAAGTTAGTACCGTCTTCACACCTGTGGCACGTTCGCGATAACAAACCTGCCACAGGTGGCGACGATGCGGGCCACTTGGCCTAGTTCGTTTGTAAAAACCTATCTGCCCTTTTCCTGTTTACATTCTGCTACTGTAGCTAACAGCTACAGCTACAGTAGCTAACCGCTCAATACGGATCGCGTTGTTTAGGGAAAGATACATCTCACACTTGTCCAAATTGCTCTGATGCTAAGTGCAGCATTTCAGTGGGTAACGTGTGAATGTGTGTGTGCGTGTATGTGTGCGCGCCGCGGACACGAGTGCACATACACACACTCTTTAGCAACGAGCGTAAGAGAGCTGAGAAATGAATGAATGAGAATGAAGGAATGAAAAGTGTGGAGTAGAGCATAGCGACCGCAGACAGGGAGGTTACAAGTGTGTGTGTGTGTGTGTGTGTGTTCTGGTGATTGAATAAAGACTGATTCTTGAATGTCTGAAGTGTTATTGCAATAGCACCACACTGAGAGCGAGGGTCAGGACCATGAATCTATAATAATAACGGTCAGGACAGAATACCCGTAGGAAACGCTTTTCTTTGGCTCTGGAGCGACACACTCCCGAGTGCCCCTCGACCACGGTCCGGGGGCTTATATGAAAGGTTTGACACAAGCTGAGAATATGAAAGTGCAGGGAGAGACTTGTGTGAAAATGCGTGTCACAGGAAGACGTAATGTGAGCAGGGAAGCGGGCCCCGGCCGAAGTTTTTAACCGCGCGAATGCCGCGGTCAGATGGCACCTAAAGCCCAGATCTACAGTGCCTTGCAAAAGTATTCCTTTTAGTATGAACCTTTTAACATTTCGCCACATTTCAGGCTTCAAACAATTTTTTGTCATGAATCAACAACAAGTGGGACACAATCGTGAAGTGGAACGAAATTTATTGGATAATTTAAACTTTTTAAACAAATAAAAAACTGAAAAGTGGGGTGTGCAATATTATTCGGCCCCTTTACTTTCAGTTTACTTTGAATGATCCAATGTTGTCCTAAATGACTGATGATGATAAATAGAATGCACCTGTGTGTAATCAAGTCTCCGTATAAATGCACCTGCTCTTTGATAGTCTCAGGGTTCTGTTTAAAGCGCAGAGAGAACCAAGAAGACAAAGGAACACACCAGGCAGGTCCGAGATACTGTTGTGGACAAGTTTAAAGCCGGATTTGGATACAAAAAGATTTCCCAAGCTTTAAACATCTCAAGGAGCACTGTGCAAGCAATTATGTTGAAATGGAAGGAGTATCAGACCACTGCAAATCTACCAAGACCCGGCCGTCCCTCCAAACTTTCATCTCAAACAAGGAGAAGACTGATCAGAGATGCAGCCAAGAGGCCCATGATCACTCTGGATGAACTGCAGATAACTACAGCTGAGGTGGGAGAGTCTGTCCATAGGACAACAATCAGTCGTGCACTGCACAAATCTGGCCTTTATGGAAGAGTGGCAGGAAGAAAGCCATTTCTGAAAGATATCCATAAAAAGTCTTGTTTAAAGTTTTCCACAAGCCACCTGGGAGACACACCAAACATGTGGAAGAAGGTGCTCTGGTCAGATGAAACCAAAATCGAACTTTTTGGCCACAATGCAAAACGATATGTTTGGCGTAAAAGCAACACAGCTGTAGCAGCCACATATTAGCTTGTCTTTTAGTATTTAGTATCTGCACGGCTGAGGGCTCACGCACTGTCCTAGTTTGTCCATTGGGTGGCAGTTTAGAGTGGCGTCTCTCAATTAGGCTGCACCTGTATTGGGCTTAAGAGGGGGACACCTGTGGGAAGGCATCATGGCAGGGTGAGCACGGGCTGCTACTTTCTGTTGACCGTAAGCAACATTCTGTACATCATCATCATCATTCGGAAGGGCAACAGAGTCTACTCGACAAAACATCAAGTAAGTCCCTATCTGTATACGAATGAATCTACGCGTCAGCAACATAGCCCGTGTCTTAGCCTGCCGCGGCGTATTGCCTCAGTTTGGACATTTTACACCGCAATACAGCTCATCACCCTGAACACACCATCCCCACATGGTGGTGGCAGCATCATGGTTTGGGCCTGCTTTTCTTCAGCAGGGACAGGGAAGATGGCTAAAATTGATGGGAAGATGGATGGAGCCAAATGGAAGAATGGGCAAGAATTCCAGTCTCTCGATGTGCAAAACTAATAGACATACCCCAAGCGACTTGCAGCTGTAATTGCAGCAAAAGGTGGCGCTACAAAGTATTAGCGCAAGGGGGCCGAATAATATTGCACTTCACGATTGTGTCCCACTTGTTGTTGATTCTTGATAAAAAAAAAATTATACTTTCGCAAGGCACTGTAATCGCGAAGCGGGCCCTGGCACACTTTAACGGGGCTTTAGGCTGCGCATGTGACCCCAGCCTTAGACCACATCTTGTATTCCCTATGGAGTGTATCTAGTTGTACTTCAGTATTTATAAAAGTGCACATTGTACTATTCTGCACCCTCAAACAATCATGGGTCTTACAACAGTACTAATGTGTTTTTGATTAGCGTAGCATTAGCTCATGGACACACGGCTTACAACCATGCAAAGATCTTAAAAGGCCAATATGCTAGCATTGTTGTTTCTTGATTAAGTCCAGAATGTCGCTGTAGAACTCTGAGATTTCCCAAGTGATAAATGTTGTAAGTTAAACCTATTGTTGTTACTGCTTCACAACATTGCATACCGTTTAGCTCCAAGTAAATAAATTCCACACAAGCTTCTCCCTGCATGCACCAAGTTCTGCTTTTAGAAGTGCCCTGGATCCTTTTTATTACGGATTGGTGGTAAAAGCATTTGTTTGCTCTGATGAGGGGACTGAGTGACCCTGATTTTTGGGCGTGTTTACCTTATTATTCGAAGCATTCCTCGCTGCTGTACTAAAGTTTTATTGCCGGAGTGCTCTGAATATTGATAGTCTCTTTGGCTCACTTGTGTCTCATTAAACATTCATAGGGATTTGTGCTGGGTGCTGGCTGCGTGACACAGGAGTGGAGAGGAGGCTCAAAAATGGTGGAACCACACTGCCATCAGGTGGACAGAGGTGGACCTTTTCTTTTTTATATTTATCTTTAGCATGTGCCTAAAGATGTGTTGCTGTACCTTCTACAATATATAGAGAATCTTGGAAGCAAACTAGCACATCTTGGATTTTCATTGACAAACTAATAGTGATGAGGTATGAGCTGCTGAAGTGGGTTGAATTCAAAGCTTCCAATATTTATCTTTTTTTTTCATTTTTTTTTATTTTTACAAAGGTTAAGCAATCAATGGTGAGATCGTTCAATGGATAAATTATAGTGATAGGTGTTATTTTGTATTAGCTGACTTACCTTTCAGTTTTTATTTAGGCATATATAAAATATCTCATAACAAACAATCATACATACTCAATTTCTATCCAACTGAATATCCTCAAAAACACAGTGAGGCCTTTTGAATGTTCCTTCTATTTAACAACAAACTGGAATTATTGGTAGAACGTGAGGAGCCTTATCTAGTTTGCTAATGCTAATGCTAATGCTAATCTTGTTTGTATCTGAATACACCTCTGCAGTGTCGCTCTCAGTGATAACGTGAGCCTAGCTGCTTTCTTGGTTTTTCTACAATAGTTTTGTTGATTTCAGGGCCGTAATTACCGACTATTTTGCTAAATGATGATCATTATTTTGATAGTCGATCAAAACTAAACAAAAAGTGTTCAACTCTTTGTCGCAACAGAGTTTTATTTTGAAAACAACTCAGACCACAACATGCTGTCTTTTAGCCTGACTCTCGCCAGACCCATGTAGTTCGCTGCACTTCACACATGAGTCTGGTACTGAGCCATAGTGGTTGGATTTCAGAAGGCAGGGCCTTGTAAAAAAAATCCTTGTATGTGATTGGATAGACCACTTGTCCGTTATCTTGAATGAAGTCTGCTTTCAACCACTCACATCGAAGCACACGGCCTCCATAGGTTGCCAAATCCCAGCAAGATTTTCCAACCCAAAATCCGCGAGAATACCCAAATAAAAATAACACTCAGAATGATTTTTTGGCTAAAAACGTAATCAACTTGGGCTATCATGATTCTGTTTATTGTCTTTCTGTTTATTTAATACCTACAAGTCTCTTGGAAAAAAATATGCGGGAACCACCAAACCTGGCAACCCTGCTGCAAAGTGTGTAAAGAGGAACACTGAACCAGTGCTTCAACCAAACTTTACAGGAACATTTGACTCTTAAAACACACAGATATCAACATAGAACCATCTACATCTCGCCTCAAATTGCATTAAAAGTGACATCCGTGTCTTAATTCGATCGTATCTTTAAAAAGATTTGCGGACTTTACATGAGAGAAGCTTGAGAAGGCAGTGCAAACCCCACGTAACACCGACAATCCTGATTGGTCGATTAAAAAATAATCTGGGGTACAATAGGTTCAATAAAAATATGTACAATAGGTCTGGCATGTGCCTCCTGTACTGGCACCCCCACTCCCAAAAATCACAATTGTAAACCGCTTTGAGACTCCGATGTGCAGTGAAAAGGCGGTATATAAATAAAGATTACTTACTTACTTACTGGGGAAGGCGTTCGCTATGGCGTCGATACCAGACCCATGTAGTTCAGCCAAACGCCTCTGGTGGAGCATGGCGGAACTACAAGGGTCTGGCAGAGCCAGGCTAGCTGTCTTTATCTTTATTAGAAAACATTTTATATTTTACACACTGTGAGCTGGCATTATTTTCCACTGAAACTAAAAATACAACAGAGGCCAAGAATACATTCATGTGGAAAATTAGTGATTGAACATAAAATAACATAAAATCAAAAAGTCATTCATGATAAATTTGTTAACTTTTTTCAACGTGATGTGATTTGTATTTATTTTAATGATCTTTTAACTCATAAGCTTTGTTGGCACAATAAGTTCCTGTTGAATGTGGCCAGACATGTAATGTAATTCCCTGCAAAGTGCTACAGTGGGTCAGTCCTTGTCAGTACTATTTTCACACGTTGTGGTGTTTTCTTGTCAGTGTGCCGGACAACGGTGCAGGCGGACATCGTTTTTCTGGTGGATGAGTCGTGGAGCGTCGGCCTAAGCAGCTTCTCCAGAGTGAAGGACTTCATCTCGGCTGTGGTCTCGTACTTTCCAGATCATGTGGTGGGCTCTGAGGGAGTCCGCTTTGGGGTCACTGTGTTTGGCGATATCCCCAGGTACAGTACATAAAACAATCCTATCCACTTTATTTATATAGCAAATTTTGTAATTAATAAAATAATAAATGACCAATTATCCGATTTAAATAAAAAAAACATATAATAAATAAAACTGAGGACCACACAACTCACAACTTACTGCTATTCAGTAATTGGGTGAAAATGTTCAGCTTCCTGATTGTCTGGGAGAAAAACTGTCTAGATTTAGACATTTTTGATCCACAAGGGAAATATAATTTTCCACTGTTTATAATTAACAATAAAGAAAAAAATGCTACATAAATGTTGCAAGTTTGATATGAGGATATGATATCTATGATGTGGACTCATGGCATGCCACTAAACATATTTAATAGTTACCTATGTAACTTCGCTAGTGGGATATCACGTGATCCCCAGGTCACAGACTCCAGAGATATAAAATAAAAAATGCTCCAATCACTAGCGACCCTCCTCTATAAAAGCCCCTGCTCCATAGCCGCACCCCCTCTTGAACTCTGCCAAGCCGGGCTGGCCTGATGGGCTCGTAGCTAAGGGACTACGCACCTATTCGTAGAACCTAAGTTACATAGGTAACTATTAATTCTACGTCATGGTGCTACGTCCCTTAGCGGACTTAGCTAGTGGGACACAACGCGGAGGCCGTAGGAACATGTACTCCCAGCAGGCCAGCGAAGAGTGATTGGAGCTCCGCCCGAGCAAGACCCTCACACAGTGAGAGGACTCAGGGCAGAAGAAAGCAATTGCGTGTTACAGGGACGCGTGTCCCAAGGACACCCCCAAGTAACACAGACCGAAGGCCACCCGTAGTCTCAGGACGCCTCTCCCAAGAGCTCCTGACGTGGACTACCTGACTGACCAAAAGCACACACATACCGCACCTGCAGGACGCCTCTCCCAAGAGCTCCTGAACCAGGGCGGACAAGTCAACCGTAGACCCCCTAAGAAGAGGAACCTCATGGTTTCAACTCAATCTGCTGCACTAAGCACGGAATGGGCCACCGACCGGTCCGACACATCCAAAAGGTAAGACCGGACGAAAGAGGAGGAAGAAGCCCAAGAAGCCGCACGGCACACGTCCTCGACCGAAGCCCCCCTGAGGAGGGCCGTAGAGGCCGCCACCCCACGCGTGGAGTGCGACCTGAAACCCACCGGGGGGGCCAGGACCTGAGCCTGATACGCCCGCCGCACAGCCGTGGCTACCCAGTGCGCCAGCCGCTGAGACGACAGCGGGGCGCCCCTGTTCTTGGGGCCCAGACACACAAACAGCTGATCAACCAACCTGAAGGAAGATGTCATGGCCAGGTAACGCCTAAGCATTCTGACAGGACACAGAAGGTGCCGCCGCTCCTCCTCTAGGGAGGCATGCGGCGGCGGATGGAAAGCCCTTATCCTGATCACCCTCGACCTGAAGGCCGAAGTGATGACCTTAGGGAGAAAGCCGGATTGGGCCACAACTCCACCAGACCGTCACCCTCTCCAAAGGACAGGCAAGACGCATGGACGGAGAGCGCACACAAGTCGCCCGCCCTCTTAGCAGACGCCAACGCCAGCAAGAGGGCAGTCTTAAAAGCCACACACTCGGGACTCGCCTCCGACACCGGTTCAAAAGGCGGGCCCGAAAGACCCCTAAGGACCACCCTGAGGTCCCAAACCGGGGGCGTTCTCTGAAGCGGGGGCCTCCTCCTGCGGGCCCCCCGCAAAAAGCGTTTGACCAACGGATGAGAACGGGCCGTGAACCCCCCGAAACCGTCGTGACCCGAGGTAATGGCTAGCGTAGGCCCTCACAGTGGAAGGCGCCCTCGCCCCCTGAATAGTCTCCACCACCGCCGGGGGAAGACCCAGGTCTACAAGGTTCTGCCTCTCAGCCTCCAAACCCAAAGCCTGCGGCCCTAGAGCCCAGGGCTCCATCACCACCATGCCCCTCAGGAAAGGGAACCACCGGGCATGTGGACTGTCCGGAGCCACCAGGATCACCGACCTCCACTCTTGTTCGATCCTCGGCAGCAGGACCGGCAGGAGACGAACTGGTGGAAACGCATACAGCACGCCCCCTGGCCAGGGGTAGTGAGCCAGGGCGTCCACCCCTAAGGGCGGTTTGTCCGCGGCCCTTAAGGCGAACCAGGACGGGCACTGTGCGTTCTCTGCACTGGCGAAAAGGTCGACCACTGGACGGCGGAATCTCCGCCAGACCTCTGCAGCTATCCGCGGGGCCAGGCCCCACTCGTCCTGTAGTGGGCCCCCCCTGGGGCTCTGACCGAGGACCCCGCCCCAACCCTCGAGTGACGCGTCCGTGAACACCTCCACGTGAGACACGGCGCAGACCAGAGTCACTCCGTCCCGCAATAGACCCGGAGTGAGCCAGAACCTGATGTCCGACGCTGCAGTTTGGGGAACCCAGATCAGCCTCCCCCCGTCCCGGGAGGGGTGAAGCCTGAGGCGTGAGAACCATCTCTGAAAGTTCCTCATGTGGAGGAAGCCTAGCCGCACCACAGCATGAGCCGCCGCCATCATCCCCAGCAGGGACCTGAGGCGCCGAGCGGGGACCCTGGGGCCCGCCAGCACCTCCCTGGCTAGACGGGTAATTTTCCTCCGTCTGTCCTCGGACAATGCAGCACGGAACGTCACAGAGTCTAGCTGCAGGCCGAGATAGATCATGCGCTGAGCCGGTTGCAGCCTGCTCTTCTCCCTGTTCACCACAAAACCCAGACGCTGTATGTGGGAAAGGACCCAGTCTGTAAGCGTCTGTCAGGTCTATGGAGGACATCCAATCTCCCTGCCTGACACACTCCAGGAGCTGTTTTGTGGACGCACCCCTCCTGACTTCTTTGGCACTAAGAAGTAAGGGGAGTAGAGCCCCCTGGTGGCGTCCTGTGGGTCTAACTCTACTGCTGCGCCTCGACTTAGCAGAGAGGAGACTTACGCTTGTAATGCCACTAACGATCCCCGTACCTGAGAGCGTGCTGCCCGCACGCCCCGGAATGGCGGTGGCTTTCGGGAGAATTGCAGTGCGTAGCCCCTGAGCAAGGTCTTCTCTAGCCACGGATCCGACAGTAAGCCCTGCTCCCTCCAGATGCTGTAGAAGTCTGTGAGGGGCGGAACGGGAACTGGAACACGAGACGTCACAGCCCCGCCCTCTGCTGGTGTTCATAGCAGGGAGGGGGGGTGGACGAAAGGGCAGAGGGGCCCCCTGCGTCATTCTGTGTGCGCCGGGGGCGGTCACGTGTCCTGCAGGCCCGACGTCATAAGTACGGGCCTGCTCATGCCATGTGACTCGACTGCTCCGCCCCCCCCTGGTTCTTTCCTCATGGAGGGGGGGCGAGCCCCTGGAGTGTTAGCCCCTCTAAGCCTCGTAGCTTAGAGGGGCTAACACGTGTTCGGCCGAAGCACACACACCACTACTCACCAAATCCATCCGCCTGACCTCGCTCTGGGAGGGCATAGCATGGATCAGAGGACCGGAGCTCGTAGCTCGCGTAGCGCACTGCACACCCTGCTCTGGGGGCTGCAGGCCTAGCGGAGCAACGTTATGGGCCCGGGAAGTAACACAATCAGACACATTAAACATGTTACGTACCCCAAAATGAGACTCAGACAAAGAGTACTGATGAAATGCCGGTCGGCCTTTATTGAAAGCATTCTTACCGCCCCGGCCTCCTCTACCATAGGGAGGCCGGCGGTGGGTGCGCTGTTCCCGCGAGCCTCCCGTGGGTCTGTCCGGACCCGGGGGTCTCGTCGAGGGGGGACGATGGATGGCGGAGCGAGGATACGGGTCAGGGCGCCTCCTGGGCGAACGCTCTCTGCCTCTGTCCCGGCTCCGTGACGGCTGGTGGGCCTCGCGCCTCGGAGCTAGGTGCGGGGCTAGCCTAGCCGAGTCGTTGGCTGCAGACTCCAGTCTTTCCACCAGGGCCTGCATATCAGGGCAGCTGCCTCTTCTCCGCCTCCCTGATGTTAGCCAGCCCAAGCCAAAGGTGCCTGGCCCCGACTTGGGCTGCAGCCATGGTGCGGCCACCATCCACGGCAAACGCCTGGCTCATGCGCAGGAGCGCCGCGGAGGTGGTCCTAGCTTCTGACAGGAGGTCTCCACTGAGCGCCTGGCCAGCAGAGAGCGACCTATCCAGGGCCCCCGTGATAAAGGCCATGTTGTTTGCCAATGCAACGACCTGAGCCGCATTGGCATAACACCTGTCCAGCATCGCCAAAGACATCCTGTCCCGCTCGGAGGGAAGGAGAGGTCATGGAGCCGGGCCACACGGATGCAGAGGGCAGCAGAGCCATGCGGACTGAATCCTCTATGTCCGGGACACCACCGGTCCAGGACCAGTCCTGCACGCTGTAGTACATGCCGTACCCCAGAGCAGGCCTCTTGGCTGCTAGGGGCTTTGGCTACTCACGTGTCGCGTAATGGAGGATCGGGTCCATCCGCGGGCACAATGTGGGTTGCTTCCTCCTCCTCCCTCGAGTGGTGGCGCCCACCGAGGTGAAGTCCTCCACCGTCTGGTCCGGCTGCGGTGGTAGAGGAGCATCCATGATGGCCGCCGCGGAGGAGTAGAGACCGGGCATGTGGTCCAGCGGAAAGCGGTCCGGCTCCGGGTTCGACACCACCTCGTCCAGAGTGAGGAGAGAGCCGTCCTCCGAAGTCTCTCCAACCTCGCAGTCACCCCATTCCACGGGCACGGGAGGAAGGTCGAGTGGGGCCCAGTCAATCTCAGACTCCTCGTCCTGAGAGGAGTCCGGACGGGGCGCTGTAGCGGCGAAGAACGGCTATGGAGCAGGGGCTTTTATAGAGGAGGGTCGCTAGTGATTGGAGCATTTTTTTTTTGATATCTCTGGCGTCTGTGACCTGGGGGTCACGTGATATCCCACTAGCGAAGTCCGCTAAGGGACGTAGCACCATGACGTAGAAGTGGAGAGTGGAGACTTTGTTCAATATCTAGAAGAGTATAGGATTGTGAAATGGGACTGTATCGCAGCTTGTCATCAGTTGATTGAGAGGG